CCATCATCCATCCAACTACCCATCATCCATCCCATTCATCATCCATCCAACTAACCATCATCCAACTACCCATCATCCATCCATCCAACTACCCATCATCCACCCATCCCTCCATCCCATCCATCATCCATCCAACTACCCATCATCCATCCCATTCATCATCCATCCAACTACCCATCATCCACCCATCCCATCCATCATCCATCCAACTACCCATCATCCATCCCATCCATCATCCATCCAACTACCCACCATCCATCCATCTATCATCCATCCCATCCCTCAATCCCTCCATCCCTCCACCCACTCACCCCCCCCATCCACCCATCATCCGTCCATCCAATACGCCCAGACTACCCCCATGGGCCGGGCCTGGTACTCACTGCTGGGACACTAAATTCAGTGGGGGCGAGGGGAGTGGAGGGTGGCCAGCGTTCTAAGCAGAAGGAACAGGTAGAGCTGAACAAACCTGGAATCGTATTTGCTGGGCCTGGTGCCCAGTGATGCCAAGTAGCTCCCGAGTAGGTAACTGAACAAGACACTTTGGGTGCCAGGTGGCCACAGGCTGCGGAGTCTCAGATTAGCGAGGTGGCCAGCGTGGCTGGTGCACAGGGAGGCAGTGGGGAGAAGCCACAGGAGGACTGAATTGGGCCTGAAGGGGGTCCCCGGGGCCCAAGGAAGAAGCTTCCCTAGGTGGAGAAAGGGCATCAGACAAGCGACCCAGGGGCACAAAAAGATGAAGTGGGGTAGATTCTGAGGCCAGAGCTGGCCCAGGCAGGCCTGGGGAGGGGACGGCGCTTCTCCAACGGGATCGAATGGGGGAGTTCTGCAAGTCACAGGGTCACAGACAAATGCCAGATGTCCCACTAAAAATAACCAAATATGTAATTTTTGAGCTAAATCAGATAGTATCTTCAGCTGGATTCCCGGGCGGGCAAGTTGTATCCAGTACCAAAGGTTTAAAAACATGTACGGGGGGCTGGAGGGAGGCAGGAATGGAGAACATTCCTCGCACAGAGGTTCCCAGCCCGAGACTTGGGACAAGGCCACCATTGTGAGGTTCTCAGGGAAGTATCTCCACCCACTGCCTCCGGAAGGATCTGCTCTTGGGGGACAAACACAGGTCCGGCGAGGACTGTTCCCCGAGGTGAACGAAGTTTGCATTTGGTTGGGAACCGGGAGGGGCTGCGGTGGACACGGGGAGGAGGCTGGACGCCAGGCATGGGTTTGGGCGCTGGACGTCTGGGAAGAACCTTCCGCAGCGTGGGGGATGGAAGACAAAGGGCCACGGTGGGGGGGGGCGGGGTGGTGGGGGGGGGGAAGCAGGGAGCCTGGGCTGGGAGCGGCAGGGAGAACACTGAAGAATAAAAAGAATACTCCGTGTCTCCCGACGTGTAACCCCAGGAACAGTAACTTTTCCATGAGAAAGGCTTCCAGGCCGAATAAGCTTGAGAAACACCGGCTGAACGCGTCCACCAGACTCGTTGGTGTGCGGAGGGGGCCTGGCCACAGCGGGGCCCAAACTTCCTCACCCAGGAGCCGTGCGGGATCAGGCCCAGCGTCCGCAGGGAGCGTGGCAGACTGAACACCCGGGTGAGATACAGGTTTGGGGGCCCGCGGGGAAGGTCCAGGTGGAACAGCACACCCTTGCCTTTATGCAACCCCCGCAACGCGCCCCGGACACTTGTCAGCATCAGCGAGAGGGGAGCAAGGCAGCGGGCAGGGTTCAGCGCCTTCCCCCCGGGCGTGGGGGCTCCCGTGGGGGCCTCGGAGCAGCCCCGCCCCACCCGGGGCCCCCAGGGCCGAGCAGCACGGCCTCCGCTCCACGTCCACTTACTTTTCTGTCGTTGAACTCCACGTTTTCACCTTCGTAGTCTCCCTGTTCAAAAGGAGGAAAGAGAACTCTCGCCACCGGATGCAGCTTTTGAGTAGCGCAAATCCGCATCCAAATGCGAAGGCCAGACGGCGCATCACAGGAGAGGGAGGCTGGCCTGGCCCAGCACCTCCTCCGGGCAGCCCTCCTGCCCTCGCCCCCGGTCACAGAGGCCACGTCCCGGAAAGGACCCAGGGCCACTTGCTAGGAACCAGCAGCATGCAAGAAAGGGGCTTTGCGTGGCCGTTGGGGGGTGGGGGGGCGGCTGGCGGGACAGTCCCAGTGCCTTGCCTTGCAGGTGCTGGGAGGACAGGAAGCTATAAGGTCACTGAAGACAGATCAGTGAGCCCCACACTCGCATTTCACACTGGTAACGCTGAGGCTCAGAGAAGCAAGGTGACTTTTCCGGGACAGACTGCTAAGCTGGGACCCGGTTCCGAGTCTTTAAATCCAACGCAAGGGAGGGAGGACCTGAAAGTCAGAAGCCTGCCCAGCATATCAACAGCTGGAACCAGGGACTCAGGGGAAGCAACAAGGGAGCACGGCCCCCCGCGGGGCCGGCCTGGCCAAGCGGACTTGAAGATGGCCCGGAGGAAGCTCTGAGGCCTCCCGGAGGTCTGCCGGGTACCTGCTGCACTCACCAGATCCTTCTATGACCCTCCCGCCCCTCCAGGCAGGGAGCACTTGGCCTCACGCTCTCTGAACAGAGGTGCCCTGAGACCAGTGTCATTAATGTTTCCCCCTGAGTCTTCAGCGCACCCTCCCCCGCCCCAGCCCAACCCCGGAGGCTTTCTGGGTGTTTCTCTCCATGGCCCAGACAGCCACACACTCCAGCAGCATCTCATCTATTCGGGACCTCGAGGGTGACAGGTGCCAACCAGGAGGGAGGCTGCCAAGCCGCCACCTGAAATGTTAGTCCTGTCCCAGTATTTGATGCACGAATTCCAGGAGCCCTCCTTAGGGTCTCGCTCAGGGCAGACCCCTACTCCACACACCATCCTCACAGTGGCTCTCTGGTTGCCATGGCATCCAGCGCCTTGCCTGATGGGTATTCTTGTGGAATGAATGACCGGATGAACGAATGAGCACAGTAAACGAGGCCCTGCAAGGGGGTGGCGATGCCGCGGGCGACGCTCTGAGGGCAGCAAGCCGTGACGCAGGACGACGGCGGAGTTGGAGCAAGGACCACCCAGCATGCGGCCAAGAGCCGGGCACCTGAGCCTGGGTGTGTGGCTTCACGGTCCCGCCCCCTGCTTGAGCATGCGGGGTACGTTTGGACCGGTTCAGGGTGATTTATGTCCCCAAACGTTCCAACATCAGCTGTGGTACCTACGGGGGTGGGTGCCCTTCAGTTGTGGGGAAAATTCATGGCTGTAAAATTCCGTAGTCCCTCAAGACGCCCAGAGTCCTTACTCCGGCTGGAAAGAAGCCTGCAGGTAGAGCTGGAGGCTGTGTGCCCCTGGACAAGCTGCTTGGGCAACTGCAGCCTCAGTTTTCCCGTCTGCAAAGCGGGAGCGGGCCCCCCACGGAGGGCCTCCCCACTGCCGTGTGAGGTTCAACGTTGGGCCCAGCTCCCCCCGCAGAAGCTGTTGCGATCCGGACCACGTCATTAAGCCCGAGTCTCCACGTCTGCACCAGATTAAAGGAGACAGAGCTCCCAGTAAACACAGCTCTCTGCGTACAACGGGCGCTCAGAAATGTTGATGTCTCCCCTTTCCCTCTCAAGCCTTAGAGGGCTGACTCCAAACAGGTCTGGATGGCCCAGAACAGGCCCTGGCATCTCAGCAGGGGTGAGATCAAGGGCCCAGCAGTTTGTGAACTGGCGCAGGGCTGCGGGGCGGGGCCGTATTCCGGGAGCCAGCGGGGTGAGCCCCCACTGACGAGGACGGTGATCGAGGCCCCTCAGCCAGGACCACCGGCCAGGACCCGGGAGGTCTGAGCCCTGCCCTTGAAACACGCAACAGGTCGCCGGCCAAGGCAACCGACCCACGCGACCCAAATCAGCACGGCGCTCGGTGAGCACCTACGTGCCGAGTGCTGCGCCTGTCCTGAGACCCGTGGGCGAGGACCAGCAGGCAGACGGCGGTGTCTCTGTGGGACGGGGTGCACTGGAAGCCAGGGGGATGGGGGGAAGCAGGGAGACATCAACGGGGCAGGGGCAGGGGGCAG